GGCCCTGCAGCCAGGGACATGAAATAGGTTGGAGAATAAATGAAGGAGCTGCATCTGAGGACTGACATGAGTGGGCAAGGAAGAGAAGAAATAAGCTGCACTTCCCCTTCCAGGGTCAGTATCTCCATTTCTCTCTCCCCGGTGACCTACACAGCTCACAGTTAACTGGCTCTTCACACTCCAGAGAAGTACAAAAAGCCCAGGAACTCTTGTTTACCTCCAGAGCTTCAAATTATTTCAATTATTTGCCTCAGGGCAGTGATTTTATGCAAGGGATCAGTAAAGAAGGCACTGGTGTTTATATGCAGAAAGCTTTAACATCTGTTTTCTCCTGCTTAAAACAGTATTAACCAAGACTAAATGGTAGAAGAAACAGCAAATACAGAATCCGTAATCTTTAAAAAGAGCACCCACTTCTGTTTCTTTCTCATTCAACTTTCCTGTTTCTCTTCCTTTCTCCAGTAATCACTCCTCCTAATAGCGTGGTTACAACCAACCACCCTGAACTCCTACAACCGTGAGTAATTCTCTCCCACAAACAAGTGACAGGAAGAAGAGAAGCATCCTAGTTTTTAATGATTTGAACCACCCCATGGAACGTCACGTTCCTCTAAATCTCAGGCCAAATATATAGACGTACTAAGTCACTAATGGAAGTTTTTGTTTTGTTTGATTAATTACGGTGCTGGAGCAAAAACACTGATTTGTGCCCTGTGCTGCTGGAAAAAACTCTTGCTTGTAGTTTCGTAAAGATCTCACTTCATTAGGGTTGCCAAGGTCAGTGAGATCCAAGTGATCGACCTGGGAGATGCTTGCATGATTATTAAATATTTAGCAGCTTGTAACCATTTAACTGCACCTTGCCGGCCGCCGCGGGGTTGGGGAGCGAACCCCGGAACACAGCGACACCTCAACTGGGGCTCGGCAATTCTATCTCCGCTCGGTTCAGAAGCCCTCAGCTGCTTAAACGCGAGAAGAGGACACAGAAACAAGTCGAAATCTCTTGCAATTTTTCTAATTCAAGTTCTTAGACACTGCTGAAATTTCAGTAATTAGAGATTTAAAAGCAAGGTATGTTTCATGCAACCAGGGCGACGCCAAGTTTTCCAAACGTCTTGGTTTTAGTTTTGGGTATTTGCAAAAGACCTCCCCGACCCCGTTCTGCCTCCGTTACCGCGCCTTTATTGAATTACACGTTTTAAGTCAGTAAACTGCGGCACCCCCGCCCCCACATGCACCCCCACCCCCCAGGGCAGAAGGAAATTAAGAAATGAGAAAGAGCCACGAGAGAAGTCGGGGACTCCCACCCACAGCCCAGTTGCGCCGCGCCCTGCCCTCCTCTTCCAGGGCGGGAGAGGTCCCTACCTGGGGCCGGGGTGGCGGCGCCCCATGGCTTCGCGCGGGGAACCCAGGCTCAGCGCCTCCCGGAGCCCGCCGCGCTCGCTCGCCCCGCAGCCTGGCGCGGTCATTGGGCCCGGGCGTCACGTGGCTCGGGCGGCTCCGGGCTCCGGGCTCCAACACCGTCACCTGCGCCCCGGGCCGCACCGAGGTTGCCCCGCGCGGCGCCAGCGACCGCGATCCTGCTGGCGACCTCCCGAGCCGCGGCGCCCGGAAACAGGAAATCCCGGGAGCAAACTAGTTTGCTCGTCGTCCCGGGAAACTTTGGTGCCTCTTTATTTTGGGGGAAGAACATTTCCTATGATTCGAAGTTTCAGTGTGTATGTTCGATAAATGCACCCCCACCCCCATAAATCTATTCGTCACCCTCGGGTTCTCGGGCTTTGTGTTTCCTCCTCATTTCTGGCATTAGTGCTCGGACCTGGCGGGCGCACTATCTGTCGCCTGTCGCCAGGGCTGGATGGCTGGGAGGCAGCGGGGTGGCTACACAGTGATAATTTCAGGGGAGCTGCACGTAATCTCCTGCGCCCTGGAGATCACCGTGCGAGCTCAGTGAACCCAGTTCCTGTTCAGAACCCACCGTTGTGATCCCCATCCTCTTCCCTGCTGTCTTTTTCTGGGGTGTTAGGACGTGGGGTGTGGCACGCCATCCAATCTCCCGAGCGCTCACAATTGCTTCATCGTAAATTCTACCCCAGACTTGGGGACGTTCTTCTCACCTGCGCTCCAAAGCCCTTGCAGGGCTCGCCAGGAAAATGTGTTGAGCAACCGCGCCACCTAGCTCACTCTCTGCCCCCTCTCCAACAATTAGGGAGAGTAGGGACAAAAAGGGCTGCGGGAGAGGCAACTGGACAGAGAAGTATTTAAAGGTGGACTTGTTGCCCGTAGTTTTTCAGTGTGTCTTGTTTAGTGGTTCAGGCTGCATTAACAGGGATTTGCCACGCTCTGGATGAGGAAACTCAATGTTTTGGGCTGTCCTCTTGTTGTAGTAGCTGATCACTTTAAAATGGTAGATTTTTGAGGGAAGTTAGATGTCATAAGTCATTTTTGGATTTAAAAAATCATGTGTCACAATAAAGGACTCTTATGTCCAACTTGTAGCTGTCAGTTTAATAATGTTTGCAGAATTTTGGTACATTTATCAAGTTAGGCTAACCAAAAGGACTTTGGTATTTGTCTTGGGTTTTAAAGTGTGGTTCGTTCAGAGACTACCAGATTCAACATCATTCTAATTCAGTAAAAACACAAATTCTTGGGCCCCTCTTCAGGATACTGATTCAGAAATGGGAGGGGGTGAAGAGATTTATGTTTTAACAAGTGACACTCCAGTTTGAGAATTGCTGCTCTGTGTGTATTCAAACTGGTGGTTAAATTACGCTCATCCAGGATAGGCCGGCACTCTATAAAGCCGGAGGTGCTATTGCTATTTGTCACCCCCAAAGTACCAGTGCTATATAGTTTGTCATACTAACACACTAAAACCAAACTCTCCATATGCTTGTGCAAAGTAGAATCTATGTTCTGAGCGGTCACTTGGAATGCCAAATGCAGACCTGAGGGGACCCTGGTAAAAAATACAGAAGAAAAGCTTAGGGTGTCTCGATGCCCACTGTACCGAAAACATCAGGATTTCCTTAGTTTTTTTAGGTGTATTCATGTTTTTGTTGGGAAATAAATTGTTCCAGACTAATAACTCATAGAAGACAGAAAAGCTAATTTGAGTATGTCATTACAGTTCCAAATTTGCCAAATAGTTCTAAAAGAAATGAAAATTGTAAAAAATTATGGTATCAGCTTACACAACCACAAAAACAAGTACAAAAAATTACGCACCACATTGGTGTTGTAGTAAGTGTGCCTGGTCTGTAATCCATTTGATAAAGCAGTGCCTGAATCATTCATCCCAAAATACCATTTCCATCAGGTCATTCCCTTTCTTAAAATCTTTTCAACTACTCCCTATGGCTACTTAAGAAATTCTAAAATCTGTGCATAGCATCTGAAGTCATCTAAAATATGCGTTCACACACTGGTAATCCCAGCACTCAGGAGGCTGAGGCAAGAGCATTGCTTGAGTTGGAGCCCAGCCTGGATTACACAGTGAGTTCAAGGCCAGCCTGAACTACTGAGACACTGTCTCAAAAACAAAACCAAACCCCAAAAATAAAAAACTCCCCAAATATGCATCAACTCATTTTTGCCCATACAGCTTTCTTCTGAAATGCCTTTCCGATACTGACAGTTGTTAAGTCCTACTTATTTTTCAAGCCTCAGTGTCTCCTTTTGTTCATCCTTTTCAATTCCCAGGTAGAATTAATTGTGTATTCTCAGCACTCGAGTTTCACTTTTATTAACAACTTTTTATTCACAGATTTATTGATTTAGTTGTGTCTCTTACTGATTGTAGCATTCTGGACAGGAATTGTGTAGGACTAGTTTTCATTCTAGGGCATAATACCTTGGACTTGGCAAATATGCGATATTTATGGTGTTACTGATTCTAGGAAGGGAGATATTTAAATAGCAAAATCCATGTAGCTTCATGGAATAGCACTTGCGTTGTATGCGCAAAGCCCTGGCTTGATCCCCAACGTCACAAAAACAAAAACCTTCAACCTAAAGAATATAGATTGGAATCCAAGAAGGAATTTCCTGGCATAGGTTTTTTTTGGAATAGGTTTTTATTTTTTTTTGGGGGGGGTAGTAAACTTTAAACAAAGATTTTAGCCATATGTAAATGATGGCAATATACCTGGTAACTTTTTAACCTTTTATGTTTCCTTGAGAATGACTGTTTCTTGGCAACTAGATACTGTATAAAATTTTGTCTGATTACTGCCTACTTATCACTTAAGCTCTTCAATGCTGCCCTGACTAAAAAATAATAAAATGTGCGTCCATGAGAATTCTCAGACCCAAGAGGTTTAAAAATGTGAATCCGGGAAGGTCTTCCTTAGTCCTGCTCTCTCACCTGTAGGGTGTTTATGGGCGGAATTTCTTGGTCATGATCTTTCCCTCTTCTGTCTTCAACCCCAAAGGGAAGCTAATGACCCTTGAACAAGTTTCTTGTTTGTTATACCTGAAACTCTAGAAGGCATAAGATACTTTATTTACCTTTGTGTTCCTGGTAAAATGCATGACAAAATAGTTACTGAGGGAATTCATCAATTATTTCTATATACGTAAAACTCCTGGGTGTTGGAAGCAACTTCCAGTGATTATCAAAAAACCAGGCCGATTGCTCATCTGCAAGTTAGAAAATACCTTATAGGTCATTGTCCATAAGTGCCTCCTGGGTACTGAATCTATATTCTGATGGGCCTTCAGAAAGCTAATAAAAAGACACTGATAGTACACTGAAATCTTGTTCAGCTTTTCTCCCCGGCCTTTGTGTCCAGCTTTCCTCACCTGTGAAAACAGAATAATAACAGTACCCATCTTGAATGGCTATACTGAAGATTGTACAGCTTAGTACCTGTAAAACTCTGGGAACAGTGTCTAGTGTTTCTGTAAGCATTCAGTGAGCATGAACAATTATTTCTGCTACTCAAGATCTCTACTTCTGCCAAAGATGAGGGAGAAAAATCAAGAGCACACAAATCTAAGTGGTTTATCTTTTATTCATACAAACAGTACATACACAAGACTGTATATTGTTTGAAGACTGAAATAATTTTCTAGTGTAACAACTCTGTAACAAAATTTAACTAAATGTAACATTTATGAAAATATAAATCTCTGATTGGGTAATTCTTCCCAACAATACAAAGTTTACATAAAAACATTCCATATGAGCTATCAGTTGCAAACAAGTTAGGAAAAATCATTCAAGTCACTTGTTATACTCTATTGGCTTTTACACAGAACATTCACACACTACATTTAATCCATCTAGGAATTTAATTCTTAGAAATGTATGGCATGTAGGTCCAACTGATAACGATAGAAATAAGAATATGTTGCCTGAAGAGCTAAAAAGCATTGAATCATACAAGCCACTTGGAGTGATTCTTACATAGGTCGGAGCTCTCTCTGAGCAATCACCCCGCTGGCTGGTAGCTAAACCAGGAGGAACATACTGAGAAAAGTCTTTTAACTGTGCAGTGGGGTGTTTATATCTGAATCACATCTTTGAATAGTTACACATTAAACTGCTTTCTAAAATGAAGTACAATTGATTTGGATTCTCTATATGCTATATCACTTTTTTTTCCCATTAGCATCAGCAGTCAAAATGTCACTGTGTTTTTCTTACATTATCCCAAATATCCCTAACAGGGCTATAGCAGAACCTATCACTACCTTTATTTTGCAGTTCACAAAAACAATACGCTGGTGAGGTTAAAGAGGTGGCAGGGACATACTAATTCATGGCAGAACTGGACCAAAAATAGTTCCCTCATTTTTCTTATTAAAGTGATGCCACTTTCAAAGAAAACCAAACCAAACCACAACTAGAAAACTCCATGAAAAGTTATTCAAGGACAATGCCATGTGGAAAATACTAAAGGAAGAAAATCACTTTTACTTTCTGAGTTGTAATATTTTCTTTTAAATAGATAAAGTAGGGTTTAAAAAATATTTGACATCATTTCTTCTGCTTTTGCTTTGAAATAGGTAAGACTATAAAAGTCCAGAAGAGTCCTCAGCCTGGAAGTGTAACAGATAAGGAAGCATACATACAGTGCAGCGAAGTAAGAAAGTGATTACAAACAGGGACGATAAAGAACCTTTGGACATCGTTAAGATTTATGGAATATTTTAGCACAAAGACAGGCATATTCAGTTTGTCCCAGAGTATTTGGTTATCTATCTGCGTGTTACACAGGAAAAAAGAGAGATGAGAGTAAGGCAAATGTCATCAGTATTTCTGAGATGGCATGTTAAGAAAACTTGCTTTCTATTAAGAGATACTTCAGGGATTTAGGAAATAATTTATGCTTCCATACAACTGACTGAATAGTACATGTTTTTTATTAGTACAATGATAGAAACGACCAGGTGTTTTGACCAAATTTGTAATGCCCATTCTGTAATTCTTCTTTACACTCAGCACAAATACGCATTTCAAAAAAGATGTGAAAAAATTGTGGTTTCTTATTAAATGTGTTCTTCTGCAGCCCCAGAAATAAAAAAGTTTAAAAATCATATATTCCATGATACAGAAACCCTTGCATGCAACTCTTGCAACTGTACTTTAATGAAGATTGACTCTCCATGTTCGGTAGCCCTATGATAGCAGTAGTTCTTGTCCAGTCCAGTTTACGGTCTCACATTTCATGTCGTGTCTCTTGGGAACCTGGGAATATATCTGGATATTTTTGTTACATGGTTTTGCACCGTTAGACCTTTCCTCTGCAGACTAGGTTTACACAGTTGTCAGGATCAGGAAATGTAAAGAGAGATTAAGGCTGTGTTTTAACTTATCACACAATCATTTGGAGTCAAGCAGCAGTTTGTCTCCATGACTTCAACTGTTTTTTTGTAGAACTAATTCCAATCTAAATCGTATACATGTAACTGTAGCCTCGCTCATCCGAACTAAGAAAATCAACTATACTGCTTCTTATCACACAGCTAATTTTAAAACTTTTATCCTCTCTCTTCTAGGTGAAATAGCCATTTATATACCACTTCGCAAATTCTCTGACAAAAAGACTGCACTCAAAACTAATCTCACATTTCTGTCTGTTTCACGAACATGTTAATAAAACACTGCAATTCCAGCATCTTTGCTGTCTTCTAAACAAATGAGTACTTTATCATTTGTGATCCAGAAGACATACTTTATTTGTTCCTTATGTATGTGGATCACATGTTTCCACTGATCAGGGTAGACATTTTGTCAGTTATCAGGGGTGTAGCTGTGGCCCCTGGATTCGAGGGCAGAGCATATCCTGTCATAGCAAGAGTTGTGTTTCTTTGAGGGTGTTGCTTCACTGGACTCTGAAGAGTCACTCACTGTGATAGGGCTGTCTCTTGCGAAGACTTCAGTGGACTCTCTCCATAAGCAATCTATAGACACTTTAAAACTGTAACTGTTAGATTTTGGCCTGGATGTCTGGGCTGCACTGTTGAAAATCTGTCTGCTGTTTGAAGTGGCAATCTTAATTTTCAGTGCAGCATCTACACGGTCCACTACTGTGTATATCCCTATACTCCCATCGTCAAATCCCACAATGATGTTCAGGTGCCTCTGAGAGAGTGCAAGGAAAGTTGGTGTTTTGTACAGGGAACAAGCACCAATATTTTTGCCATCTGCCAGCCTCATTACAATTAAGCTGGATATTGCACCATTTTCGTCCTCCTCCTCCCCATTTCGGAAACAAATATATACCAGGTAGCGACCATCACGAGACAACCTCTGCCGCCAGATGACCCCAGAGGCATGAACTACCCGTAATTTACCACTGTGTAAATCCAGCACATTGATATTTTCATCTCCCCTAGATATAATGCCTAGCTTTCCATTGGGAGAAATTTCAAAATCCTCTAGATTTTTCAAAAAGTTGTTTGGGAGTTGCACGCGTCGACAGATCACCTCATCTGTCAGGTTCCAGATGTTCACAGTCTCAGCTGATGTGATAAACACGATGATGTCGGGACAGTCAGGGATCAACTTAAAATTCACAATGGTGGTACCATCTTCGCAGCAAAATTTCTTGGTGATACTTCCTGTCCAGAGACTGACTGCCAATACTTTGCTTTTAGTCATCCCCACCACGAAGGTGTTTGCCGAGGTAATGAAGGCATTCTGCAAAGTGGTTAGGATGTTGCAGACCCTGTGGCCTGTGGCTAGTCTCCAAACCCTGGAGGCATTTTCCTCACAGAGGGAAACCACAAACTGGTCATTGTGTGTAATCAGCAGCTGAGAGATTCTCTGCCCATTGATTCGGAAGAGGTTTTCCCCGCTGCTGGTGTGCCAGACATACTGGCTGCTTTTGTCATCTGATGTCACCATTATGTCTCCAGCAGATGTTAACACACAGTGTTCAACTATTCCTTCGTGCTTAAATACTGCTTCGATGAACCCACTGCTGAAGTTCCACTTATGAACACAATCGGAGCCATCAAGTGAGTAGATTATTTCCCCTCTGGCAGGCAACACCAGGCTTTGGATGGGTTTTCCAGTCTTATCTATGTTGGACATAGCTGTGATTATATCTATATCCCAAATAGAAAGAACACCACTAGTTGATAAAGACAGTAACATATTGTGGTGACTGGATTTCACCAACTTAACTATAGTACCTGAGATTTCCTGTAGGCTTGCCATGCATTGCCCTGTGTCCCGCCTCCAGAAAAACACGGCTGGGGTGTTCTCCATGGTAGCTATGATGCAGTCTCCATTTTTTGACAGCACAGCAGATATAAAGCGTTCGTTGTGCTTGGCTCTGAACTTTTCAGCCACCTTCCACATGCGAGTATCTAAGAGCTCAATGCTGAGAGCCTTACAGATCAGAATTGCACTCTGGTCCTCTGAAAGTTCTATGGTGACCACCTCGCTGTCTTCTCTTCGGCAGTCAAAGTCATCAGTCAGCTGGGGATTGGAAATGTCTTCAGTATTCCAGATTGAAAGACTTCCCTCACTATCTACCACTACCATCTCCTGAGCTGTATCCAAAATAAGAAGAAACTTCACAAACCCTCCTGAAAACTCAGATGTTACCGTACATAACTTTTCTCCACTCCCTAAATGAAATATAGTGGTAGTGTTCAGGTACTGTCCACAGAAAGCATACACCCCATCTAGAGTGCACTGGACACAGGTCACTTCATACCAGCAGTGGAACTGGTAAAGGGGCCATCCATAGAGCAGATCAATGACAGTGACATCTTTGCTGGCCTCGAGCCATGCAAGGGCATGGTTGACCGACAGTGTAAATCCATTGATGTAGGTAGAGCTGCCTCCATGCTTGGTCCCTTTGATTTCTACTTCAGAAAGCAGGCAAGAATTGACATTATCATAAATCAACAAGGTGTTATTTGTTGTAGCCACCACAAGGTACTTTTCGTCACTTGTGAGCTTCATGCCTAGGATGACAGACTGGGCTGTAGTAATTTGCCTGAGGAGTTGGCGAGTTTCTACATCCCATGTGCTGATGGAACCATTTTCTAAAGCTGTGAGGACAGTACTAGGGTTACGGGTGGGCAGAATCTCTGTGACATGCAGGTGACTGGATGATAAGGGAAGACGTTCGGGACTGTACGTCACATCCATGGATGAATGAAGTGGCACAATGGAGCAATACTTGGGCCCATCTTTGTCACATTCTAAAAGAAGGTGTCTAAGTTTGGGCAGGGAACTTACAACAGGCAGCAGTCTTTGCTGCAGCTCTGCTGACAGGGAGCTGGGAAATGCAATGACCTTGTTTTTGATGCTGCGGAGGGTGCTGGCCAGGAACTTCAGCTCCTTCTCTTGCGAATAATTATAAGCCAGCTCGATGTCTGAAAGCACTTTGTCAAACTGGCCAATTTTGATCATGGTATAAAGCCAGCTGAAGTTCATGATGATGCCATAAAGCAGGTCATCAGTTTTTCCACACCTTGTCAAGTGGTGCAAAAGCTCCGACATTTTCCGGTGATTGACGAAAAAGATGTCAGGCTCCAGCGGATTACATTGGAAAACCCAGGGCTGGTCTGGGGCCTGCCTGTCAAAGGAGGCCTGTTCCATGAAGTGCTTTTCTTCCTCAAGTAGGCTTCTACTTTCCAAGTCAAGGCAGCCATTCAAGTAGGCATCTTCAAGGCAGAAAGCTTTCCTCCTCCCCCCTGACCAGACCCCCAGAAAATAATCTGCCAGGATGGTGTGCATTTCTCGCAGGTCACCATCGTGCTGCAGATACAACTTCTGGGCTATAAGCTGCAGGTGTCTGTTGGCCCAGACCAGGAGTGTGACATTCTTCACATGTCTTTCTATTAAGCATCCTGTGAGAGCCTCCTTGAGCCTTGCGATGTACAGGTAAGGGACTCTCAGGGGGTTGCTGGGCCTGTTGTTTTCATTGAGTTCGTTCATGACACTGTTGTCTAGGGCTAACACGTCCTCCAGTTCCATTTCACTCAAACCCACTTTGGCCATGGTGATGTAACCAAGAGCCCTGGAGACCAGTTTCTGACCACACTTCTTCTCCAGGGACCAGAATAACTGCTCTATACTTTCATGAACGGTGACACAGAGCGAGGATTCATCAACGTCTTTGTGAGATCGCCAATGTCTCACCTCCCTGAAGGTCAGGTTCACAAACATTGGCAGCGTGCACTTGGAGAAGGCGTTGTTCACATAAATCTGCTGGCCTGATGTGACCTTCCTTTTGACGCGCAGCAGCTGGTGTTTGAGGACCTGGCTGCACATCTTCCTGTCCCGGGGAATCAGCTCGATGTAGTTGTCTTCTTCATGGCTAAGGCACCTGAGTTTCTGCAGGATCCCGTGTTTGTTGGGCAGTGTGGAGAGGACTATCCGCACGAAGCGGGGAAGGTGAGCTGGGAGCCACCAGAGCTTCCTGGCATCATCATTCTCTGAGAGCTGCTCTAGGGCATCGAATATTATTACCAGAGGTCTCTGCAGTGAAGACTCATTCAAAAGGTTTATGAATAAGTCACGGAGGTCATGGATCTTCTTAGGGTAGCTTTGAACCAGACACCGGTAGTTAACTGCCAGTTGCTCACAAACACTTAGAAGTAGAGTTCTAAGGTCCGTACTCGTGTCTGTCATTCCAAGAAACCTCACCACTATTACTGGGTCAGATTCTGGTCCCGTGTCCTCATGCAGCCAGCCGTAAGCCTAAAATATACAAGCAGAGTTTAGAACAGGGCTATGAATTCACACGGTCATAATCCAACATTACCTCTTTACAGAATGGTCCAAAGACCTCTGGTAACACCTACCATGAGGAAAGCAGCCAAGAACCAAGAAACAGAAAGACCCTCTGGGAAGGCCAAAGAGGTGCCAGTAAGCTTGTGCCCTAAAAACTACAGGTGACATCCTGAGGTAGTAAAATAGTAATGAGTATTATCTGAATGTAAGGAAACATTTAGCTCATAGTCTAAAAATTGGTAAGTATTCCATAAATCTGTAAATCGGAATATCTAATGTGGTCAGTTTTTCATCATCAAATCTCTATTTCTTAGCCCAGTCATGGCACACAGTAAGCACTTAGTGTTTAACGGCTGAGTTAAGTAACGATTTATAAGCTAGATTGAGTTAAATATTTTCATTAATCAAGAGCACATAATGCCATATATAGCTGATCAATTTTCTAGTTAATTAGAAAGCAAAAAAATTTCAGTATTAAAATTATAGTTAATATAATTTTTATAATTCAGACATTTTTGTGGTGCTATCGAGTCATGATTATGATTATTATTTTTCTTATAAAATCTTCACAGTGATGGTGAAGAGACCTTTTTTAGAGCGTGTGATTTGCAACAATGGTTTGATGTATTAGCATGAAGTCATCTGTCCTCATATTATCTCTCTGAAAGACAGATGTGATTACAATGCTATTTAATAAAAGGGGAAACAGAGGACTGGGCTGGATAAAGGACTTGTTCTGAGTTTAACAGTCACCATGAGACAAAGGTGGAGTAGAAATCATATCTCATTTTCATTTTCATGCACTTTTTTTTCTTTTTTAAACCGTGGAGTTAGAGATAAGATATATAATATATAAAGGATATACTAAATTTAGTACTTTTTCTGTCAAAAAGTCACAGATGAGAAGGTATATGATCAAATGAGTATTTTTAAGAAGATAGTCTTTTAGCAATCCTAGGAATTTAAGAAGAAAAGATACTTTTTAGAAAAGAAAGTATTTTATACATCAGGAAGTAAATTTATTAAATTGTATTCCTGCAGAGAGTGTTCATGTTAAGAAATAAATGAGAAGATTATTGGATGTCAATTTCATAATGAGCTATTAAGAAAAATAAGCATTTTGTTGGTGTTTACCCCCAACCTTGGAAGCTGGTTTCAAGAAAGATAATCTTGTCATGCCACAACTGTTCATTGGTGGCAAATCAGAAACAAAAGTTTGTTCCTACACTGATTGATCATGGTGATTATATGCATCCTCCCCTCTCTGGCCCATCCCAGGCTGCTGCATGTGTGATGTCTGTGGAGAACAGCCCTACACTCGTGAGCTGGCATGCGTAGAAATGCGAGTAACACAAGAGACAAACACATGTCTGTCTGTGTCCTTACAAGGGACACCATGTCACAGGAGAATGGAAGTTATTCTTGATGGCAGGCCAATGATTCCCCTAGAAGGGAGGCAAGCAGGGTGTAGGAGGGGACCTAGAATCAGGTGAGGTTCCTTGAACAACCAGAACCCTGGACTGTGGATAGAGGTAGGTAATTGGACAAAATATCCAGAGGGCAGGGAACTCAGAAAGTTATTTCCCAAGTTGATCGACTTTGTGCTGCTAGCACACTCTGTCCTGCAGGAACTACTTCTCTGCACAGGCAAATACGTACATCCCATGTAATCCCTCCAGAGCATGGTAGGTCACATGGAGATGCATCATATGGACACTCACTTGGTCAAATTAACAATATTTGTTCCTTCTGGCTAGTCCACAATGAGAAAAGCCCTGGAGTGAGGGTGAAATAGCACGTGTGAATACTGACTCATTCAAGTTCAGTTCTCTTGTATCACTTATGGTGTCACCATCAGGCTTGCGTGGAATAATCCTAAAGTTCAAAGATACACACACCAGTGTGCAGCAGCACACACACATATAGACACAATTTATTCTGATGTAATGTGATTCCTAAGTACAAGCTTACTGCCTCAGTTGGTCCTTAACTAAAGATGGGGCCGTATTTTATAACACAAGAATAAATACCAACTGGGCTTGACATGCTGAGATGTGGTAAATTAGCACACTTAAGGGCTTTTGAAGGGCAAGTGTGATATACCTGGTTTTCACCTATAAGCTTATTTGGAACCTAATCCTCACCACAAGGTATAACGGAGCTGTTCCTATTTTTGTCCTCACAATGACCAATTGGAGAGTGTGTAGGATATGACAGATTACAAAAATGTAGAGTTAAAGAAAATTGTTCATAGGAGAGTAACTACAGAATAATAATGTGAAGATTCTGAATTAATGCTAGAATAACAGAAACCAGCATACCAGGAGTTATCAGGAAGTTAAAAATGAAGCCAGTTCAGCTCAGCATAGGTGGAGGAGGCAAAATAATAGGTATCATCTTCCAAAGTAAGGTTCCAGACCTTCATGCAGGACTGGAAAAGGAGGTTCTGAAGACCAGTTTAGTGGAGACTGGAGATGAGGATGCCAAGGGTCCTATTTCTCACTGCTTCATCTCAGAAGGGGAGGTCAGAATGATGCCCACCCTTCACTTCTAGCCCAGGGGGAGGGGCTTCAGTGGACTCCTTTCAAAGTGTCTTCTAAAGCCTGGGGGACACAGACACCTGAGAAACATGAAGGTCATGTGGCAGGCTGGCTGGCTGCTCCAATGCACAAGTGAAGCAGAGCTGGTGTCCTGGGCCTGGCCTGTAGGTTTCTCACGGTGGCTCCTATGTAACTAATCTAGGCCATCAGCACAAGAGAGACAAGGGTCTCTGCTTGCTTGCTGTCCTTTCTAGTTCCTGTCTAAGAAGCGTGCCGGGCTGTGGGGAGGATCTTAGCAGAAAGGCATTGGAAGTGTGTTGCTGGTTGTCTAGGAGCTGGGGAAGTAAAAGAGCTAGAAAAAAAATGCACTGTCTTGTAGTGAGAGGTGTTCCATGGGGCTTGGGTGGGATTTTCAAGAGGGGAAGAATGTCCAGAAAACCATGAAAATGCCTCAGAAGGGATGGGAGGTGGCTTTCAACCCTGCATAAGGACATGGAATTCAGAGCTCAGTTCACAATAATACTGGTCATGTAAGAACTTTCTGATCACTTTCCCTTCTCTACAACCCCTACTCTACAAACTGATAGGATCATCAGCATGGTACAGGTTAGGAGAGGAGGAAAGAAAGTGCTACGTGGACAAAGAAAGAAGCTGGCCAGGTTCCCATTACTATTGTTGGTGCCCGGCTTACGGCAGGCCTCAGCTGGGGGCAGAAATGCAGACGGAAGTTTTAATTATCACCTTAGACTGAAATAGCTATTAGAAACAGACAGAAGGCTAGTCTCCTTGAGAGGGATGAGAAGAGGTCTTGGGATCTGTCCTAGTTTTGATTTAATTTGGGTGGAGGAACTAACTATACAACAGGAGTTAGAACAGTAAGAGAAAAAAAAACTAAGTGGATTTATAGCTGTACCTACGAGTATTGTTCTCCTAATATAGCTACTATGGCAAGGAAAAAGAAACACAAAAGTATTCATTCCAAAGAATAATAATAATAATCCAAGTAGTAAACACAGAAAATGGAAATGAGTTGGATCAATTTATTCTTTTCTCCTAAGAAAGAGATTTTGCAAATAATTGTAAATGGGAAAGAGCAGACTTTTACCTTCTTTGCTACTTCGGCTAGCAGAAGGGTCTTTCCAGTGCATGGTCCTCCATATATGATAAGAGGGTTGATGTGCCCCGTCTTGCTTGGAAGGATGTACTTATGCACAATGTTCAGCGCTTCACATTTGTATTCATAGAATGAGGCGTATGTTTTACAGAGCGATGAATGCTGAAGGATCTCATCATAGAGTGTATCAGTTTCTGTATCAAAATTCTGTTGTACCGTTGCCTGAATTATATCAATCATGTCCTCATAAAATTGCTTACCAAGTCCTTCTATGTAATGATTTTCTATTTCTTGGGAATAGCCCAGTTTCATGTCACAATGAGTAACAGATGTGTACACTCTCAGATTAGATGATGCAACTATGGTAGGAATAAATTCATCCCTGAGTTTGATCAGCTTCTCTTGAGCTTCTGGGTCACGAATAATCCTTGGTTCTGTTCCAGTTATATCCATGTATTTGCCCATCTCTGGGATTTTCACAAAGCGCTCAATGTTAGCGATTTTCCTAATGTAGCAAACACACTTCTTTAGGAAAGCAGGGGTCTGCTTGCCAAGAGCAAAGTCAAACTCATCCTCAATAGCTGGAAGAGAGTAAGACAAGGAGTTGATTGCCACAAGCAAAGGAGCAATGTACTTGCTATCCCAATACACAGTTCTCAGTCACTGGTGGTAGGCCATTTTGCATATAAACTCTACTGGAGTAATCGCTTTTCTTTTATTCCCTCAGTAATGGGGATCAAACCCTTAAGGGCCTTGTGCATGCCAGGCAAGTGACGGATCACTGAGCTACATCACCAGCCCTTAAAATAATTTCTGAATTTTTAAATTTCTGATTTGTCTTTTCTTAAACAGCCCGGAAGCCAGAAGAATGGATTTTTTTGTAAGATTAATTCCCTCCCTAATGGAAGGAAGAGGTCAAACACCAGCATAAGAGAAAAAGCATGCAAGTTACACTTGATACTTTTAAGTTGTGTGTTACTCTCCCTCTTATTTTAGCTGTTCTAAGAGTGAAAAAAGAGCAGGGTCCAATTTGGACCAGGAAAGAAAAAGGAAGAGGCTGAATTACAACAGCCCTTTTGCTTATACCTCTTTATTTATAATTTGGCTTCTCCATTTTGCTTGAGGTATATTGTACCCGGAACCCTATATGTTCAAATATAAATATAAAAGCATATTTTAAAACAAAATATAAACTGAATGCGGTGGTACATGCCTATAATCCCAGCATCCAGAAGGCTGAGGTAGGAAGATTGTAAGTTTGGGACCAGCCTGGGCTACCTAGTGAGACTCTGTTCAAAAAAACAACAGCAACAACATTTTCTGAATACTGATTGAACTGAATTACCTGTGTCACTGTTAAATTCTGTAACATTCATCAGAAAAGGCACAGAAAAATAACCAGGCACAGAGTGTTATTTCTTCTAAATTAAGCCCTATGTGGCTTCAACAATATGCTTACACACAGGGAAATTTACATTATAAATCATTTGAGGCCCCTGAAGAACATTAAAGCCAGGATAAAATCATCATTCTATAGGGGAAAAAAAGAACTAAACACATGGGAATGAACTTTAAAGCGAGCAGTCTTTCCAAACTGGCTGCTGCCCTCCCTCCTTTCCTGTCCCTTTCTTCTTCCCTTCATTCAGTTGGTCTTCACTGAATGCAGACCCTGTGCCAGCATACTTCTGGTTGCTTAGGATACAATGGAGAGACAAAAAAGACGATTCTGAGGGAAGAGGCAGTCTGGATCACCACAGACTGAATATCTGTGATTCCCCTGCAAAACTGTGCTGTAATCTATATCCCCAGATACTAATCCAAGTGGGGCCCTTGCTAGGTGATGACATCATGGAGGTGGGTCCTTCATAAATGAGGTCAGTGCCCGTATAAAAGAGGCCTCAGGGACCTCCCTGTCTCTCCCTGTGAGGAGGCAGTGAAGACACATCATCTATCAACCAGGAAGTGGAACCTCCCCAGACATCAAACATGCAGGTGCCTTAGTCTTTAACTTCCAGCCTTTAAAAATTCCAGTTGTTAACAAGCAGCAGTTTATGGTGTTCATTTAGGGCAGCCCCAGAGAAGTAACATATGGAGTTCAGTGGAGGATGATGGATATCACTCCTAGATTCCCACAAATATTATGATTGTCCTTAGTTCTGCAGCAGGGGAGAACATGGTGCAAGAGAGCAAACAGAGGAGACTCCTGGTTGGGATCTGATGGAAGCAAGGTGGGGAGAGGGCTCTGAATACACAGGGCTGGTCTGGCAAGAAACTTAATTCATATCAATGTAATAATGGCCACAACTCCAATGTCAAGCAAAGCCCAAAATATACACATATCTATTCAATGAAGTCATTATTAAGGAAGGTATTAAAAATGGCTTTTAGTAGAACATGTAATATAACCCATAAAAATTTCTTAGTCAAGTGAAAAAGCTATGTTTATAGCCAACAGTGCTCAGTAAGTTGTGCCATGCACATCAGTATATTTTATGTGATTTTTTTTTTTTTTTGGTACCAGGGATCAAACTCGGGTCCTTGCGCTTGCGCAGTAGGCAGCAAAATCACTGAGCTAAATCCCCGGCCCGCATCAGTATATTTGATAAGGGGTTTTTATCAGGCAAGCTAAGAAGGCTTTACCAGGGCTTATACAACATGTGTCTACCTTTCTTTTTATAGACGAATAAGTATTTGTTATGAGGTAATGACAGATGAGAGAAATATGGACATAACGAGCTAGTGCAGAAAGCAACTTCAGTCCACCTCTTTTCCAGTAATCTGGAAGCACACTGGATTTGCTGATTGCCTCATTCTCCAATGGCCAGGGAGAGAAAGGAAGAGGCAAACTGTGTATCTGGCCACGATGCTTGATGGTCAGAGACAGATGGTGCCACTGGGACTCCCAGCAAACGACTCAACTGTAGTCTCACATGTGTCAATCAGGAGTGTGGGAACATAAAAAGAGACAGAGATGAATTAGAAGAGTCCATCTAAGCTTGGCTTGGGGTGAGGGGAAAGAAGCTTTACACAGAGTGCCTAGAATGATTCACATTTAGTAAATGAACCTGACTGAGTGATACGATGTCGTTAACTCTATATAGTGATGTTTGGAGGTGAGGTGCATCCTCATGATTTGGGGGACTTGTCATAACTGCGGCTACAGTTTGGATCTGGAACATTCTTCAACGGCCAAGGTGTTAAAGACTTCCTCCCACGGGGGTGTTGTTGGGATGTGGTGAAAGGTGGCAGAGTATGGCCTGGTGGGAAGTTTTAAGTCATTAGGGCTTGCTTTCAAATGGAACAGTGGGAGCCCCCTGTTCCTCTTTCTCTCTTTTGTTCCTGGCCATGAGGTGAACTGTTTTGCCACTTGCTGTCACCAGGATGTGCTGCCTCAGCACGGACCCAAAAGCAATGGGACCAACTGATCATGCACTGAAAGCTCCATAACCGTGAGACAACATAATTCTTTTGTCTCCTTAAGTTTATGACCTCAAGTGTTTGGTACAGTATCAGAAGACTAATGCAATTCTTGATATTTTTGTATAAATATTACAATTTCCCCCTCCCCTTACTAAAACAGTACATTTATTTACTGTCTTTGTACTTTCCTTAATATATAGCAGTTTAGTAAGTCACAGCACCTGATGAAGGTAACACTGGGGACAGATTTCTGGCCCTGCTATCATCTATGCGATATTACTCTATTGTTTCCAAAGCCACTCGACTTTGACATCCACAGATGGGTACCAGTTTCAAGTCTCATCTATTTCTCTTCTCCTATTGTTTAAACAGGAAAAACCAGAAGAAAAATTGTATTCAAATGAAAAATAATGTACTTTTATAGTTCTTTCTCCGGTTCTAATTTTCAAGATTTCTGAAACTATTGAATACATCTATTTGAAACAGTTGGCACTTCAACAATTTTGATTATGATACAAATTTGACCTAATCTCAAAATAAATTTGAAATGCACAAGAAATAAAATAATCACGAGTATGTATATTTTTAGGAAATGCAATTCCAAGGGGGAGAATAGTCAATTTGCACTAGTTCATATGAATGATTAATCTTTGCATGGCTCTCCATGTGGACAAGTTCTTTGAATGGATAAAATTACGGGAAAGTGCTTGCCAATGAAGTACTTGCACACTTGTCTGTATGACTGTAAGAGGATGCCTTCCTCAGATGGGTGTTTTTTACGGAAAAAACAGTAAAGCTTTGCTCTGAGCACTTTTCAAATCCAGTATATTTTTAGAACAAGGTTGTTTTATCCTTCAAAAAGATGAAGAACCAAGGCCTGGAAAATGGATCAAAAGGTACCAAGCGAAGAAGGATAACGATGATCCTGTATATTCTAAAGATATATGCTACTTATTTCTGACAATTTTAGTGTTTTTAGGGAGATAAAATAATGTGCAGCTTTTGATAACTTCTTTTTGGAATATGCCAAAATAATGGAAATACATGTGAGCATGGTTCAAGTACATTTATGTTTTTACAATGCTTTGCCACATCATTCAAAAAGCTAACCTGAGAATGCATCTACTGTTGTTTCCCCTCAATAATCCTTTGCTATCAACTTTCAAAATAAATGCTATACTGCACGCCTGACTGCTTGTGTTACTTGTTCTCTAGAAACTGTGACTCCTTCAGGTCTGTGGTTTTCTCTGCAACTTCTAATACGAAGCTTCCTCTCCAAGGCTGAGAAAGGCTGACAAGTGAGTCTCTGCTCAGAAGCTGGGGAAATTCTTGTGTTAATGTTAAAGCACCTCCTGCCACTCTTTGCTCACACCCTCCCATGTCATCTAGAATACAAGATGAAGTTCTCTTCTGATGGCCTTTACTCACCTTAATGCCTCATCATCTTTCCCTCCCTGAACCTGGCTACCTGTACTTTCTTCCTCTCCTGGAATTGGCTAAGCACAGTCCAGTCTCAGTGACCTTGAATCTGTTGGTCTGACTGGAAATCTCTACCCCAGACAGGCAAGGCCTAGCCAGCTCTGATTCCCTCTGCCATTCAGCTCAAAGATCATCTCCTTATTGCCCACCCAGATCCCAGCATTCTTCAACAGTCACTATAATCTATTACTGTGCTTTATTTTATTCAGACTACTTATCATTTCTGAAGTGATCTTGTTCATTTACTGGTTGACTTGACTATCATTTATTTTCCCCCACCAAAAAAAAAGTCCCAGGAGAGCACAGAGATCTCGCTTTTTTATTCACTGTCCTCTCCCAGTGCTTGGCACAAAGTAGGTCATTGATGCGTGGTGGGCACCTGGGTGAATGAATGAACAGCTCACTGAAGAAACAGGGTAGAATCTGGTCTGTCATATCCAGCCACTTCTGACTTGTTTTAGAATCATAATCCCCAGAGAAGCCTTCAAGTTAAGGCTTTTCTATGAGCTGAAACAAGGGAACACTTGCTTCCTCAGGACATGGAAACGTTTAGAAAAATTAGATTTGCCAGGCAGTAAATGAGATTAAATTTATAGAACCCTAAAAGGGAAGCAGTGAACTCATCTATTATTTGTCTATTCCTTAGTTTACTGAGGATGTGTGAAAATTACCTGAGAACAGGTACCTCTTAGCTTGGTTGTGTTTCATTTTACCCTTTTCATGTAACAGTTTGACCGCAGCCTTAAATATCATCTTAATCTCATCTGATATCTCTTGCCATGGCTTCTCATTTTCAGCGTTGGCAGGAGGCTGTGTCTATGAAAAGGTAAAAGTGAGCAGTCAGTTATAAAGTCATCAAAGAAAATACAGTATTTAAGAGGAAGAGAATTCCTATTATTTGAGGCCTACTGTGTGCTGATATGATAGCAGGTGCTCTATGGTGTCTCATTTTGTCCCTCTAATCCTGACCCTAACCACCTGAAACATTCTGAAATAAACCTCTTCTGTTTTACATTGCAGCTGTCAGGTATTTTATCCCTTTGATGGGGGAGTGACTAATTGTTTTTAGTTGCTTTTGCCTCACTGGTTTTGATAATCTACCAGAAAATAAAATGAGAGGCCTGCCTACCAGAAAAGAAACATTTATATAGTCTTGATGATAACTGTATTCATACATTCATTTATACAACAACAAATTATGCAGAAATAGCATTTGGGGTTTGGGGAATAATTTACATTTCCCTCAAGGATTACAGAGATAAATGAAGATGGAACAAATAAGGCCAATTAAATAGGAACACATGAGCAAGTGCCTCCCCCCAACCACTGTGCAAACCAGTGTCTTGAGCTTTCACACTCTTTGCTCTCTACATTGACTCCTAGTATATTCAACTGGGGAATGGTTTGAGCTCACCCTAATATATCTCTCCAGAGAAATAATATTTTTATAGACAACTATTTTGAACAATTCATGTGAGGAGAAGAAAAAAATTAAGAATACTGATGTGGTTTCACACTGCACAGAGCACATGCTTTATTTTGACTATGTGAAAGACAAATAAATACACAAGATTCTGAAACGAGGACCTGGTGCCAACCAATTACTCTTGCCCTCTTGAAGCTGCTGAGGGGCTGACTGTATCAAGAATGCTGTCTTTTAGAAGAAGGATAGATATTTATGGATTTTAATCTCTCTAAACATTCTATGCAACAAATTCTTCTTCACTTCCTCCTTCATTCGGTTTTAGGGTATACATAGTAGATACACCTGGGAACCAAGTTGGAGGGAAAGCAACAATAATGTTTCCATCATATTTAGCCATGAATCAATCTCACAGCATGACTCAATGTAAGATACAAGAACATAAATTAATTGTTTGAAACATTTAAGGAGACATATCAAATTTTAAAAAGAGACCATAAAATAGCTAGGTAGATTTTAAAAAGGATTATTCCCTACAAAATACCCCCTAAAAAACCACAATAAATAAAACCACACACAAAACCATTTACAAAATAAAAATTCTAACTGTTGAATTTGGAAACTCACTGTATGGACAGAGTATATACACTTAAAAAGTGTTGGTGAACTGGAAAAACACTTGAGATAATCTGGAAAATAGCACACATAGTAAGGATACTGATAATATAGAAGATAATGGAGGAATGTGAAGGACAGACTGAGACTGTCTCATGTACATCTAATTAAAGAGCAAAAAGGAAAGAAAACAGGAGAGGAGAAACATTTGATAAGATGGGGGCTAAAAGTTTTGGAAACTCATAGAATATGTGAATTCACAGAGAGAAGCATGACATGCTAATCAGAGTAAATAAAAACATTGTTTAGAAAAATGAGCCAAATAATAATATTTCAGATAAATAAATACTGAGACAGTTTATCCTTGTAGGCTTTTATTAGTAGGATTTCGAAAAGATATACTTCAGGAAAAAGGAAAATGACCCTAGAAAGCAAGTCAGAGATGCTAAAAAGAGGTGAACCAAAAATGCGGAAGTTTCTTAGCTTTAGACTTAACTTTCATAAACATGTTAAAGTATATAATGCAATGTTTTGATATATGTATACACTGTGAAATGATTACCACTGTCAAGCTAGCTGACAAATTCATCACCTCATATAGTTACTTTTTGTGTGGTAAGAACACTTAAGATATACTTACTTATCTCATAACCAGAAGTTTGTGCCCTTAGACCAACACCTCTCCATTTCTTCACACCTCAACCTTGAGTAAACACTTCTTTACTATTACCCTGAGTTAAACTGCTCTAGAGTCTACATAGAAGTGAGATCGTATAGTCTCTGTCATTCTGTGTTTGGCTTATTACACTTAGCAAAATGTTTTCTGGGTTAATTCACACTGTTACTAATGCTAGGATTTTCTTCTTTTTAAAGTGTAAACAATGTTCCATTGTGTGTGTGTGGGGATGCGTGTGCACGTGTGCATCACTGTGAGTACTGCTGCAATGAACATGGGCATGCAGATGCATGTTCGAAGTGGTGATTTCATTTCCCTTGCATGTATACCCACAGTGGGACTGCTGTGTCAGAAGGTAGCTGTCACCAAACAGCCTTTCAAGCCCTGAAAACAACCCATTCTGCAAAACACTGTTCTGTTTCAGACCAGATACCCACCTAGCCTGCGACAAAGACATCCAGGACTTCAGTGGATGCTGTAAAACCACACACAGTATGGACGTGGACAAAACTTCTGTCAGTCCTAAGGACATCCTGCTGGCCTGCTGTTCACTCATTACCTTCTCATAAAGCACACTGGCCAGTGCTGTCTTGGTCTGCTCCATGTGACCCAAACTGAAACTGGCCCGTGTAAGGATTAAAAGGGAGCAGTTACACGTGTCCTGGGTGGATCCAACCCCTTCCCCAGAAAAAGTCATGATGAATCCTTCTGCTCATTAACAAATATCCTTTCCTTTCTCCCCTTTCTCTTATAGGGACCTGCATCCTTTGTTCAAGTGGAAAGTTATTTGTGAGAATTATTCCCGCCCCCCACTTTTCCTTCTGTGGACAAATAAAATTTCCTTTTTCTGTATAATCAACTCTGTTTTGTTATTGGTTTCACAATTCGGAGAAGGAGAAAGGATGCTATTTGGGTCAGAAATTCGTACAGTTCAATTTTACTCTCTGTGTGAGTGAAGGAGTGTGTGTGTGTGCGAATGTGTGGGCATATGTGTGGTGCTGGGCATTGAACCCAAGGCCTTGTGATTGCTAGGTAAACACTCTACCACTGAGCTGCATCTCTAGCCCGTTCCTCCCCCGCCCTTTTTTGGAGGAACTGCTGTACTGTTTGCTGTGGTGGCTGCACGAATTTATCATCCCACTTCCTTACCAACATTTACCTTTTGACTTTGAGGGTGGATTTGATTTTCATTTCCTCAATGATTAGTGTGGATCTAGTTGTTAAAACAAAATTTAGCAGCTATCGCAGAGCAGACTTCCCATCTACTGTATGTCTTTTCAGGAAGAAACCTAACCCTGGATGACAGGGGTAGTTTAGAGAGATGGAGAGAAGGGGGCTTACTGCATTTTTATTGCTTCTCAGCATTTCCGATTTGGGTCTGAGGTAATAAGCTGCTGGCACGGAGTTCTCATCCCGACAGTACCACTCTTCCAGTAACTTGGTCTCCAACTTTGCCTCTATGGCAGCATCCAAAATCATTTCAAACTCTGAGGCTTCAACTTCTCCGGGAATTCGGATGTTTCCATATTTTTCACCTAATAGTCCCTGTGTATGACCAAGAAAGTTCAGTTTAGTGTATCACCAAGAAAGTTCATTTCTGCGCTCACATTATGTGATCACTCAATAAATAATAAGAAATGTGGCTGTGCTGGCTTTCTCTTTTAATCACAGTGGATACTTGATTTCATAAGTAAAATGAGATCAGTTATAATTATAACAAATTATTCAACATATTGATAAACTTGTGTCTCACCAGAAAATGTAAATACAGAATTTTTGTAGCAATTTTACTTTCTCAAATGTTATGTGACACAACGAAAGCTATGCTATACTGAGATTTGTTTGTTACAAATAAAAATGACATGCTGGATCTTACAAAATATTAAACATGTAAAGCTTAAAAGATTGCTCTTGCAAAAGTTGATGATATGGAGCTCAGTGAGGTGGTACAGTCCCAGCACTCAGAAGGGTGAGGCAGGAGGATCTGGAGTTCAAAGCTAGCCTGGGCTATATAGCAAGATCTTGTCTCAAAAAGGGGGAATGGAGAGGAGAGGGAGTAACAGCATTTCAAGTTCCAGATTCACACAGGTACAAGGGCAGAAGTGTGCTATCACTGAATAAGTGTCACTACTAACCCTACTGACAACTGAAAACAAAAGTATAAACAAGATAGCATATATTAAATTGGCAGCCCCACAAACAAACAAATTCAAAAACCGCTCTCTCAGTGCTACATGGAAGTATGAAAAGATAACTGTATACTGTTTGTGGGCATGTGAAATGATCCAGTATTTTCTGTACAGGGTATTCTAGCAATACCCTAAGAGCTTCACAAATCTATATAAATTTTGACTTGGCAGTTTTTCTTCTGAAAATTTGACTTTAGAAAATAATAAGAATGTGAATGTGAATGAAGATTTATGGAATATTTTTGCTAATCCTGCTTGAGCAAGAAAAAAAATGATATGACAACTTAAGTGCATGGCAAAGGGGAACATTTGAATAATTATGATTCATTCATTTAAATGATGTACCAAATTAGTTTTTAGAACTACGATGACTTGGAAAGATGCTTGTAAAGTATTATAAAGCAAAAAGGGTAACTTACATAGCACTCCATATGATTCCAATGATTTATATAGAGAGAATATTTATATATGTAGACACCAAAATACATATACATGAGAAATTTTATAAGAACACAGAGCAAGGTTATTAACAGCGATGCATCCAAGACAGTTCTACATGTTTGCTTAAGCCAGAGGTTCTCAAATGTGTTCTGAGACCAGTAGCAAGTGCTATACCTTGGACTTGTTAGACATGCAAATCTCAGGTTCCAGCCCAGAGGCCCTACATCAGACACTTCCACTATGGAGCTGAGTGGTCTGCTTCAGCAAGCCAGCCAGTTGGCTGAACTTCTAGTTCAGTTTTACTGGCTTATCTACTAGT